CATGACTTGAATGGATAATAGTTCCTCTGTCAAATAGATCATCTCAAGGCATTCAAGAGAAGTCAAAATGGATGAAATCACAGCTCAGATTAAGAATCTGTAATGAAGTAGTCACAGTCTGGGGAAGAAGCATGTTTGTCCACTGGAACCTCAGTGTCTTCAAAAAAATCCTACTGCTTGGCTGCTTGTGAAGCAGCTGCATTTGTCAGAAGTCTGTTCAAAATGTGAATTTTAAAATGTGTTTGTGGTATACTCCCTGAGTCAAAGCCACAGCATGGGATCTAGCATGAACACATGCTCTTAATCATCTAAACCAGCCCAGAAAAGCCATGTGGCAAAGGAAACAGCAGGAGTTTTCTAATATGCATCTAATAAGCATCTTGGACTAGGCTCTCACATCATCCCTGGTGCTCTCTGGGGCCATCTGCCCACCATGGGCAACAGGACCAAACCGAGGTCTGATATCAACCCTGCTGATTTCTGTAGTATTACCTCAGAAATGAACTTGGCCCAAGATGAACAATTATACTTGACCTGTTAGAAAATAATTAAGGATGGGGAAGAAATATGGATGGAAATCTGAAGTTTATGGGTCTCCTTTACATCATCAACTGTTCAGCAATGGCCTTCTGCACAGTTTCAAAATAAAAAGCACAGTCAAAGGCATGATCTTTACAGTTAGGAGAGTATTTTCTTTTCTCCTTTATGCCAGTTCAATTAATCAGATGCTTTCACAAGAGCTGGAACAAAAACAAGTTAGAATGTTTCCATGACAAAAAACAATAAAACGTTAGTTTTGGCTACAAAAAGGAAAACCAATAGTTACCACACGAAAAAAGAAGAGGGGAAAGAGAATGGATGGAAAGAATGAATTCCAGGGTGTGGTTCACAAAGAGTCACAGGATGTCAGAGCTGCAAACAGATAAAATAAAAATAAAAACATTTAGTCTGACCAGAGCACCTGATCCAGACAGAAAATGTTGGATAGCATAGCGGGGATGGAGGACGTCACCATAAAGCCCATGGTTTTAATCTGTTCTTATCATTTGCTTCTGCCCTGTTAGCTCCATTTATTGTTAACAGTCAGCATTCCAGAGTTATGAGCAACAGAAAGCTGTTTTTATGTGGTTGGTCACTCTCATGACACAGATTTTCTGGGAATAAAACTGATCCCTGTTCAGATATAACTGCCAGCAAAGAGAGAGCCCGGCTTTGACAGAGACTTAAGAATTATGGCAATACCTGATGTTTCTTTATATTTGCATGAGAAGACCAGAGCATTTAATAAAGACTTGGAAGTGCAATAGACTGACAGAGTTCCTTCCTTGTCAGCTCAGAGCTACATCTTACTATGGCAGAATATATTCACAGTTTACAAAAATCTGGTCCATGTTGAAGATGTCATAATTTAACAAAGCAGGCATGGTCATTTTTCTCTAGGTATACATTTTCAATAGAAGCCATTTTAAAATATTTTTAACTCTTTAATTGTGTTCAAAATGATGGCTTCTATTTCCATGAAACATTTCTAGAAAACATCTTTAAGAACAACTTAAAATTTGCTTCTGGAAGTTTGTAAAAGGAATAGAATCTGATGGGGAGGGGAGAAAGATGGAGTGCAACAGTATCATAAAAGAAACGAGTACGAGGATTAAAGGAGAATGTGTCAAACACTTGAGCATGCAGAAGCCATGGGGAGAACTTGAGGATTTCATACACAAAATTTTTACATAAATATTATTGCACAGTCTTGGTGAACCATCTGGCAGGACTGGGATACCGACACAGAAGGGACAGCTCATTTAGGATGCATTGTCAAACGAAAAGGAAAGGATTCAGTTGCTGCATTTTTTTACAAGAACAAATATGCTTCAGAAAAATGTGCAAAACAGAAATATTCAAGGAATTATGGTATAAAAATGAAGTTAGGAGCAAAGGTGCTGCTATGGGAAAGATCTTTTAGAATTTTCCTATAATTCTCTTCCAGGTTGAGTGGGTGAGGGTGTTTCCAAGCAAAAGCTAAATGCATCCAGGTGAGCAAGTTTTGTGATTACTGGGGAATTTTTATTACAAGGTAATATATTTTAGAAGAGCAACAGAAAGAACACAATTTACTCCAATGTTCTAAAGACAGCTTCTTATTACAGAGAGTAGAGAGAGTTAATGGGACAGGGAGGGACAGCAGGGTGCAGAGCTACTTTAGTACTGATTTTGACTTCCTATTAAAACTGGAAAGTTATTTGGCTTGAAAGAAAACAGGAAGCGATAGAACTCACTATTCAGAGATAAGGAAAAAGTGAAATCACTCACTGGTTTTAGGCCAGCCCTCCCTCACTAGTCAAAAAGTTGTCAAGCAAATGGTTGCCAGCCATCTGTACTCTTAATGGATCATGATAGTTCCTGGGTGACCACCTACAGATGTAGGCATTGTCCTTGCACTATTCAAGAAATGGTCAGCCACAGCAGACTTAGATTTTGTAGCTGTTTAATAGATTCCTCTGGGCAACAGAGGCATAATTGAAGCTTACAGGCAGATTAGCTTCAATCTGGTCATTTTAGGCACAATTAACAATGAAGCTGCAATACAACAGACTTCATCAATACCCAAACCAACCAACACAGGTCACCTACTCATAGGCACTGCTGTCAGCAATGTGACAGTCACACTTGCCAATGCTACTGATGGAGAATTCATTGAACAACTTCCTCACACCCAGATCCCACAGAAGCCCCAAACTCAATAGGATACTCTAAGCACAGTATCCATTTGGTCAAGACTTCCACTTGATTGCTAAGCTAGGGAAGCCTTTTTCAGACCCAGAAAGCGTGAGTTAAGTTATATGTCTCTTCTACTCATACAAATGCTTAGCAATCATCTATGTGGCAACTGTATATTTAGGACCAGCTTTAGGATGTGGGTTAAGTCTTCCAGGAATATTGTTGACGAGCCTGCCCTAAGGACCATAGGCTGGAGAAATCAAAGCTACAAAGGTGAGAATAGGCAGCAATGAGTATGTGTAGGTGCTGGACAGAAAGCTAGGTAGCTGTATGCTGGTCATGCATCACATTACCCAGGAGAAGAGAGGAGAAGAAGAAAAAAGGCCCCAGCAAACTGGTACAAAATTTCTTAATCTGTTGGGTTCATTATAAAAACATTCAAATGTCATCCATGCATAAACATTGAAAGACCCAACAACTGTACCTGCATTACTGGTCTCAAAAGTCTGTAGTGAGAGTGATCTAGAAAGTCTAATACCTCTGAAGAATTTCTTCCTGAAATTACTGCCTATCCCTTCTTCCTGCAATGGAAGTCTATTCAAATCTATTAGTTGAGATTGGTCACCTTGCTGCTTCCCAACATGAGCACAAAGATGTCATAATAACAGGATCATCGAGTCTCATGTGTCTCTTAAAGGTCAGTAAACCCTTAGAGAGGCCTCTTTTCTCCTTGTTAGACCACCCTAAACTGACTAGGACAGTGCCTCTTCTTGTATTCTTTTTTCTGAGTACAAAGATTCTTCAGTGCTCAGGGTTATAAACCTCCCCACTTCTCTGGAAGGTCCTTTATGAGGTCTCACCATAGTTATCCCCACATTGATCCATTATCTTCCTTTACATCAGAAAATTTTATCTCCAAGGTACAGCACTCTACACTTACTTCTTTGTAAAAGCTGGACTTTTTTAAAACTGAATTTTTCAAAGCAGTTTTGCTTTTGTTAGGAAGTGTACAGTGCCCAGTATCATTATTGATATTATTATTGATATACAGATACCAAAGGCATAAAAGCAGAAAATAATAAGAGCATTGTGGCTTCTGTGACAACATCTGTGGAATGTAACTGTAATCACAGCAGAAATGGGAAATTGCAGTAGAATTGTTTGTTCTAATCCTGTAGTTCTTGGGATTATCTGCTCCAGACAGAAAAGCATCTAACATGTATTTTTCAGGAGTAAATCTAATGGTCTTACCTCCAAAACATCATAGTCGCAGTTTGGGTGATATTCAATATCGAACTCCTGAATGGTCAGTTGTATGCTGCTACCAGGTGCTGTGTGAATGTACCAGATGCATTCCCTATTGCTTGGGTATCTGTTGGGGTAGCCAGGGCTGTGAAATGAACCAGAAGGGCCAGAGAGTTCTCCTCCACAACCTGACAACACAACAAAGCAGCCCGTCAGTGAGGGGCTCTGGAAAAACTCACTGACAGCTCTGCAGTGAGGACAGGCATTAGCACCCATTTCATGCACAAATGAACATACTGGGCTTGAGAGTCTGCTCTACCACAGGGAACCGAGGTCTAGCAGGGAAGAGAAATTCAGGAACAGCAGGCTGGACCTGCTAGCACTGCCTATGCAGTAAGCACTTCACCTCCTGTTTTGGCATGTTTCTTGCCATACCTCAGCATCTGCTTTGACAGCTGAAGAAACTGAGACACAGAGCAAAAAAAAAAGTGACATTTTTTGTATTGGCCTCTAACTTTGATCAGTTCTAGAAAGCTGAATCAGATCCATCCTCAGCTGTTACTGACCTCAACTAATAGACAAAATAAGTTATCATGGGGAGATCATCCTATTGTTGTAAAAATGCCATTTCCTACTGCTTTAGAAATCATAAAATTAAAGACAATGCCATTTCCCTCAGCCCACTGAGCACGTTTACAAGCTGCCAAGTCACGATGGATAAACTGGCTTTCTGACATTTGGTTGGTTTAATGTTCTTTTCTATTGAATTGTAACTGTGCAATTGTAAGACATGCCACATTTGAAAAGTTAAGTATTTTCTTTTCAGATAGGAGATTATTGTCCTAACCTCACTCCCCAGTCCCTTGGGTGATTAAGTTCTTGCATATCATGAGCTAGGTTTAAAAAAAAAAAAAAAGAAAAGATGCAAAACAATGGATAAAATGATGCAGGCCCTGATTTGACAGCATTAAGCAGTGGACACCTGAGAATGCAGTTTTGTCATTGCTTTATGAAAAGGTGGCAACTACTACACTCGCCTTCTTTCCCAGGAAGATGCTCTCCCAGTCCCTGGGTGCAGGTGTCGGCAGGGTGGAAAGGCACAACAGCCCTTCCCAATGCCAGGGCAGATTTAGATGAGACACATTCATGGTGAAACCTCACATTCAGAGAAGGCAGTAGGGTGGCTGTGTATCTGTTGCATGCAGAAAGCAAGGGAATTGTGTGTTTGATCTGATTTTACATGTGTGTTGCTCTGCCTTGCAGTAGCATTTTTTTTTTTCCTCTCTACATTACAAGCCCCCAGGTGCTTCATTTAGGCACCAGCTAATCTTTTGCTTGCACAGCTTTTATGGAGTCACTCAAGCTTTGTAAGTAATGCCCACACTCCATCAGTCTCTTTGGCTTCATCTCCAGAGGGAAAGTTCTGTCACATAGCAAAAAAGACCCAAAATACTTAATAAACCCATCTAACAAACCATAAGCTCTGTATTCCCAAAGGCAAATACTGCAGTATGTCAGAAGTGATAAATAGCATCTGTATCAGAACTTTTAGTTATAGCAGATATTTTATAACATAAAACAAAAACTGCCTCTATTACCTGCTCAACAAATCAACACAGAAGTGTGGAACTCCCCTAATCTCTACTAAATCTATGCATAATCTGCAACTTTAACAAAGTAAATTTGGCCATTGCTCTCCTTAACACTTTTTTTTTTTTTTTCCTTCAGGAAGCTATACATCAAGATCTTCAATTAAATACAAATTCTTTCTTCATCACCTTCTGTGACAAATGTTGTTATTGAAGGGTGGCTGCTAAACCCCTGAAGCATTTGCCATCATCTCTACCATGGGATCTTTCAGCTCCTCATGGAAAACTTGAGTTTGGCTATGCCACAGTTGGCTCTAGGACTTCTAGGACTGCAAAATACAAATCTATGAGAGGAAAGAGCAGAGCAGGTCTGAAAGGGGCAATGCAATAAGAAGCTATTTTAAACTAAAACAAAAGCCATCTAAATGTAGATGTAAGGAAGATGTCTCTAGCCATGCCAGTAATTAATGTAAGGCAGTCCACCACTCAGTAGTCACCAGAAAACCACCTTTTAAACACAAGAATTCCCACAACTGAACAATAGTTAGCTATTACCCGGGAAAGCCTTTACATGGCTGAGGTTGACTTCACAGGTGAATTGGCATAGGCTTCTTCCCTTTTCCTCGCCTTACTGCACAGGATGCTCCATAACCCTGAGGTGGTTTGCCCTGCAGCCACAAAGCTACATTGTCAAGCTACCAGATACCTCAATCAAGGAGTAAAATAAACTTCTAAGTGTATTTGAAAACAATCCTGCCTTCAGTTCCTCTGAAGAGAGAAAGAGAAAAAGGTCGTGCATTACTTCCCCTGAGGCCTGCCAGCACCACTGGGTAAATACTAAGCCCTTGCAGCTTTGATATCCATCAACATTTCAGCAGAGAGACAGAGGGGAAGAAAACTTCAGTGTAGCCCACCACCCCATTTTTTTACCAGTGCCATCAGAAGATGGCCTGATTTTCCTCAAATGAAACCAGGTCGTTTGTTGGGTTTTTACAACTTGAGGAAAAAAAAGCGTTGGCGAGGGAGAGCCTTACAGCTGAATTTGCAGGGTG